GAAATTCTAAAGTGCAAAAGTGCAAAAAAATCCAAATATTGAGAAAATCATCTTTAAAGTTGTTCAAATGAAGTTCTTAGCAATGCATATTACTAATCAAAAATTAAGTTTTGATATATTTACGGTAGGAAATTTACAAAATATCTTCATGGAACATGATCTTTACTTAATATCCTAATGATTTTTGGCATAAAGGAAAAATCTATAATTTTGACCCATACAATGTATTTTTGGCTATTGCTACTAATGTAACTGTGCTACTTATGACTTATCATTTACACGTAATTAAGTGCTTTTATTTGCATGACTGCAATACAATCTTTATAGAACTTTGAATATGTTAGGCCAAAATTGTTTTGAAAATTTCTATTTGGCAGAAGTTGCTTACTTGCCACTTACACTTAATTAAGTGATTTTATTTGCATAATTACAATTCGTGACCTTTTTTTTGAAACTTTGAATAATGTGAGGGCCAATTTTGTTTGGAAAAATTGGGAATATTTTGCTGTAGATGAATATACTTACTTTGTATCACTTGTGCTTATGTGCTTTTATTTTTTCATTATTTTTTTTTATTTATTTATTTATTTATATTTTTCATTTAATTAAATTTTTTCAATTTTATAACCAAAATTACCAAATATAGATAGAAATACAAAATATAAACAAATGTATATAAAATGACTGTATAAAAACATGAAAATTATATACACACTATAATAAATAATTCACATATATTGCTAAAAAGAAATTTCATATTATATTTTTCTTATAATAATTAATAATTTCATTTCCTGAAAAAGAACACGCACACACACATATATATATATAAAATCTTCAAATTAATTTTCAAGAATTGAAACTCATATTTCATTAATTTCTCTCGACCTTTATTTCGGTGTTGAGCTCTGAAAGTGAATTTTTTGCATACGTGGTTCATCATAATTACATCTTTCTGCTGTTAAAGTGCTCAGAAACAGTATTATTTGTTTAATTAAATGAATCAAGCCGCAAGCTGCTCTGAAGCATTTCTGCTGAGCCTGAAGTTAATGTTCATTAGTTTAAATGATCAGACAGCAGCCGCTTGTGTTTTAATGGACACTGAAAGTCATCTGAAAGCGTATTTGAGTCCATCTGTGTGTGTGTGTAAGTGTGTGTGTAAGTGTGTGTGTGTGTGTGTGTGTGTGTGTGTTTACCGCCTGCAGCGTGTGTAATTCAGTCTCAGCTCATTACTTTCAGCAAGCTACACACTCCATCCTGAAATTAATGGTTTGCAGATTTTAGCAGGCATTTTTTTGGAAACAGATCCATGTCTTCCACTCACTGAAATCAGCTTTAGTGTTTCTCAGATTGCTTGCGTTTGGGAAGTACATCCTCTTATTGTTAGGATGTGATGGTTATGCAAGTTATTTTATATTGGTGTAATAGTATATATTTGGTTATTTTTCTGGAAATAATTAGAAATTAACATATTATTGTTATTAATATAAAATAAATCCATCCATCCATTCATCCATCTGCATACATACTATAATAAATATAGAGGAAAGTCATAAATTCTTGAAACGGGTTTCCTGAATTTTTAAATAGAATTAATATATATATATATATATTAATTCAATAAATAAAAGTAACTTATTTAATATAGTGGAATTTGTTTTTTTTATTAACATCCAGTAAATTAACCAAATACATGTAGAATTAATATATAAAAGTATATGTAAAGAATTCTATACAGTTAATTAAATAAAAGGTATGAGTATTAATACATTTTTTAAAAAGGTTAATAATTTATAAAGTGCATATATGTATAGACACTATAATAAATTCACTGGAAATAATTCTTGAAATTAATTTCCTGAAAATAATTACATATTTATAGAATTAATATCTAAACGTATGTATGAACAATTTTATAAAATTAATTAAATAAATATTTAAGCATCAATACCTTTCTAGAAAATGTTAATAATTTATAGAATGTATAGATACACATAGTGAAAATTAATTTTTGAAATTAGTTTCCAGAAAAATAACCAGAAGTTTATAGAATATATAAAAAATTATGTAAATTAAATTAAATTAATATATTAAGTATTAGTAAGTATTACACATTTTATAGTGCGTATATGCGCACTATAATAAATATAGGGGAAAATAATTAATTCTTGAAGTTATTTTCCAGAAAAATAACCAAATATTTATGGAATTAATATATTTAATTTGATTAATTATATATATATTTTGCATAAACTTTTATATAAGTATTTAAAAAGTTAATCATTTATGACGTGCATATATGTATAGACCCTATAATAAATACAGTGGAAAATAATTAATACTTGAAATTAATTTCTAGAAAAAATAACCAAATATTTATGTAATTAATATATTAAAAATATATGTGGAAAAAAATATATCAAGTTAAATAAATAGATATTTAAGTATCAATATTATTTTAGAAAATGTTAATGATTTCTAGAAAGTATAGAAACATATAAAGTGGAAATTATTTTAAATCTACATCTAAAAGTGTGTGTGTGTGTGTGTGTGTCTGTCTGTCTGTCTGTGTGTGTGTGTGTGTGTGAGTGTGTGTGTGTCTGTGTGTGTGTGTGTGAGTGTGTGTGTGTGTCTGTGTGTGTGTGTGTGTGTGTGTGTGTGTGAGAGTGTGATTGTCTGTGTGAGTGTCTGTGTCTGTGTGTGTGTGTGCACTTAATTACCAGTATTTTCTCTTTTCATTTGGATTTTAATGGTCTCAAACCCAAAGATTAGATGATTTATTTAACATAGAGTCAAACAACCATGCATCAAGCATGTAAATATCATGAAGCAGATTGATGCTGTGTGTTGTGAGATGGTGACGAGGTTTACAGACAGAGAGTTTGAGATAACTGGAGGAGTTTAATGCATTGTGTGCTTTTCCATCGGCAGGCTTTGCATCCGCTGGATCCCTCCAGACTGTTCGGATGGCAGTCGGCCAACGCCACGGGCGGCAGCGGTAGGAGCTTTACACCTTACTGTGAGAAATGCTCCTGGTTTTATTGACTAAAGTGTGGGTTTGCTGATGTTTTCCAGAAGCGTCCAGCGAGCCGCCGCACTTCTCCAGCTCTCAGCTCGTCAGTAAGTTGGCCGTCGTCGAGAGTCTGGACTTCCTATATTACCTGAGTCACGGCCGGCCGGCGTTCGCATACGGGGTTTTCCTCACGCAGCATCTCCTCGACTGCAGCAACGTCAAGCTTCAGTGAGTCCAGCTCACTGTTACACTGTCAAAATAACACACAAACACGTGCTTACTGCGACATCTGACAGCTCAAACTACAAATCATGCTGTTATGACAGTCAGCTACTTCAGTTTAAATTCTTTGAATCAGTTTAAACTCTCAATAAACTATAATCTAAAAAAATCTAAACTATAAAATTATATGTAACGTATTTAATGATGTAATTATACAATTATATTCATAAAACTTAAGAATATGTAAAAATTAAAAATTACTATGAATATGTAAATTATGCAAAATGTAGAATATGTAAAATAATTTTTGAAATAAATAAATACAATTTTTGAAAATAATATAAAGTGCATATATATGCTCTTTAAAATATTGTAAAAAATTAATTAACTCTGAAATTGTTTTCCAAAAAAACTAAAAATATGTTAAATTAATGTATATAAAATATGCATGTAAAATAAATATAAATAAATGTTATATCAATTGTATATTAAATATAATTCTAACTTTATTTATAGAATATATGTGTGTATACACCCAATGTATATATGTAAAATAAATATAAATAAATGTTATATCAATTGTATATTAAATATAATTCTAACTTTACTAACTTTATATATGTGTGTATACACCCACACACACAAACATACATACATATATATATATATATATATACACACACAAATATTTAAGCATTTTTGAGATGATAAGGAGACAGACTCGATTCACAATGCTGCATGTGAGTGGGCAGAGCTAAATATCTCTCCAACTTTTTGATTGGTGGAAGTTTCTTTAGAGCATCAAAACAAAGTTTTTCACCACAATTAAATACAATTATTAAAAAAATAATAATAATTTGAATTA